CGTCAGAGGGGCTAGCCTCTATCATAAATGCTGGTCTTTGAAAAATCCCGAAGAGAATGTGATTTTCATTCAACTTAATAATGTTAGTTTTCATAACAGGGTAAGTACTTATGTAAATTCCATGTAATTAAACACATTCTCTTCTAATATAAATTTATACAATGATAATTCGCGAAAAAAAAACTTCAAAAAAATGCGAAATAAAAAATGACGAGGGATAATGATTAATTTTAATGTTTTCCTAATTTATAAAAACTCACCCGAAGAAATTCATTTTCCTTCACCATAGTAGCATCAATCTACATCCGATCGTAGGCACCACTGCTTCCTCGGTGGCTCAAAATTCTAAGGGGAAGTTGAGACTCGTATTTAAATAAGAATTGAAGAAAAAATATTTATTAAATATTGAGTATTTTTGTATTTAATTTGTTTGAGTATTCAACTTGTTTCGTATCAAAATTTCATAAAAATAATTCACTACGCATATATTACATTTTATTAATGCAGCAGTTAATTAAGTTACAGAAGCATAAATGCGAGACAAGAAATGGATGTGCTCCTTAGGACAGTGCTACGAAGTTTGGCTTTAATAGGATATGACATCAGTGCCTATACTAACTGCACCACATAAAGTGCAGCGCCTTTCCTTTCCTGGGCTCATGACTCATATTGGTTGGACCCTGGGTCAGATGAGTCACGATTTCAGCTGATAGGAGAGTTCGAGTGTGGCAAAGACCCCCCGAAATCATAGATCCGAGTTGTTAACAATGAACCGTGCAATCTGGTTCTGGCTCCATAATAGTGTGGACTGCTTTTTCAATGCATGAACTTGGTCCTATGGTCCGATCATTGCCTGTAAATGGTAATGCTCACTTACTTGGAAACCACTTGCAGTTGTTCAAGGACTTCATGCACCCAAACAACGACGGAATATTTATGCGTGGCAATGCGTTACGTCAATGGTTTTTAATTAATCGCGACTAGTTTGAATAACATTCTGAATAATTCCAGTAAATGTTTTGGTTACCTAAATTGCCCAACATGAATCCTATCGAACATTTATAGGATATAAGAGAGCGACCAGTTCGTGCACAAAATCCTGTGCACCTGCAACATTTTTGCAATTATGGGCATCTATTAAGTATGCATGGATGAATATTCCTACAAAAGACTTTTTACTATTTGTTGAGTTCATACCACGTCGAGTTTCTACACTTCCTAGAGCTAGAGGTGATCCGACACGATATTTAAGTGTATTCCATGACTTTTGTCACCTCAGTGTATAAAGGGCTTGAACACAGAAAAAAAAACTCATCATGCCACTGATTTGTTAGTATTAATAAATTAATCAGTATTTTTAAATTTTAAGGATTCTGTAACATACATTAAATTATGTTTTTATTTGATGATTATTATTTAATGTTTACAGCCTGCTTCAGGTGGTGTTTTAACAATAAAATTTTTGTCAGAAAACAAAGATTTTAATGTGTCTTCTCAATCTCAACTACGCAATTTTACAACCACGTCTTCTGTTGTTGAAATCCATTTTAAAGTGAATTCAGGTCGATTTGCCGATGGGATGAAAACAGGTTTCTCATTAGATTTCAATCATAGTAGGTATTATTTTTTTTCCTATTGATAATTTAGAATAATTTAATTACTAAATTCATTTCTCTAACAATTGTTTTCTTCACCTTCTTCAACAATTGTTCCTTCATTGTTCTCTAACCCATTGATATCGGACTTATTGCGATAAAATAAATAACCCATTGATATCGGACTATTTCAATATTAGTTATCCAAAATTTCATCTCGCATGAAGAGCAGCAACATCGAGGCCGTTATTTGAGACTTCAAGGTCAAAACGGAAAAAGGCCGACACTGCGACACATTTGTCTCGCATCCTGTGTAATGTATCAAGAACATCCATTTCAGGCTTAACAGTCACGCAGATACTTAATGCAGGTGGCATGTAGTCTGCGTCTCTTGGACTGCGAAACACAAAAAGAACCACCTACATACCTGCCAACTTTTGATTCTTTCGAGGATGATTTTCCGCAGTGGTAGTATAATGGAATTTAAGTTACAATTTTAGACAGAAACATACGCAGTGTTTAGAGGCGGTCTAGGCAGATTACCATAACAGTATTACATATTATTATATATGCCTAATTTTTTTAAAAATAGTGGTTGTAAAAAAGATTATAAATTAAGTTTATGAATGCAAAAAAATATATGGAAAGCTTACATTTTACTACCACTTTTAATATAGAAATAAAATTTTACGCCAAATGCGTAAAAGTTGGCAGGTATGCACCTATCACGGTACCGAGAACACCAGTCTTGGACAGAGGATGAATGGAGGCGGGTTCTTTTGAGTGGTGAGTTGCGATTCAGTCTGGACAGTGACTGAAGACACGTTCTCATCTCTCTAGAATCCAGGAGTCGATATCAACCCTCAAACAGTGTCGAAAAGGAACACTAAGTTCGAGGTGGTTTGATACAACTATTGATACTACTTTAGTATGTATCATGTTAATTAGAGTTAAGGGTACAGGGGACCTTCAAATTTGAAAAAAGTGACCAAAATTTCGATTTTGAGATTTTTATTTTTTCAGAAAATAGACGTTGTAAGCTTTCAAACAAAAAAAAAATTTGGAAATCGAACCCTTTTTTACTGAAATATGAGGATTTTAATTAGGCCACGCCCCTTTGTTTACATTCAGAAAACAGAAGTCGGTAGTTTGAAGCAGCCAATTTTTTTTAGTTTCGTTTTAAGCTAAAAGAGCTTTATATTATTCATTTCAGAAGGGTTCTTCGGAAATGAAAATTAGTGACAGGAAGAAAATTAGTGACAATTAAAATTATGTAAGAGTAGAAGGACCCTCCTATTGTGCGGGAGGATTTTAAAAAAAATTTCTATATTTGACACTTCTATATTATATATATCGCACACAATTAGTTTTTACATTTGAATCAATGTTTCATTTTTCGGTTTATATATCATTCATATTTTTTAAAATAAATTAATTTCATGCTTACTAACTTATTTTATGTTATTACTTTAAATTTTGAATAGTTGACGTTACTTGCGTTAAATTTTGAATAAGTAAATATGCTTGCTGAGTAAGTTTTTGTATTTCTTGTCATAGGCACATATTGAATTGAATTTTCATCCATTTAAATCTAATAATGGAGATAAAAGTACAGATATATGCTTAATTAGTCATTTTTTAGATATTATACACAACTAATAGTGTTATTTTAAATACATTTTAAAAATTGCTATTTTCTCGAAATGAAATTTTGACGGATTTTTGTGTTTTCGAAATGTTCCATTTGTCTCAATTTTTAGTTTTTTTGGTTGAAACTTGTTTTATGTGTACTATGTATGTATGTAATTAAAACTTACCATGTTTTGTTACCTAGAACATTGGTAAAATTTGTTTATAGTAAAAAAAGTTTAAGATTTTTTAAATTTTTCCAGAAATTTTCATGAGATGCATAAAAAGTGTGTTTTTTGAGCTAGAGCACTATAATTAGCAACTGAATGATGGTAACTTTTATTTGGAAATCAAAAACGAGTCATATAAAGAAAAAGTATGATTCTGCAATGAATTTTAAGCCCCATGGAGTGTTTTGACTTTATCGGATTTCATGCTACTTTAAAATTTTAAAAGTTCAATAACTACTAAATTTATCATTCAAATTACATGAAATTTTGTATATAGTTTTTTAAAGATATTATAAGTAAATATTGCAAGTTTCATAAATGTATATTCAAAACTCTGAAAGTTGGTTTTTAAGGTCCCCTGTACCCGCTATGACTCATATTAAAGTTAAATTAAACTTTAATGATTAAAAATATCTTGAACACAATTAAAAACATTCTAGAGCACAAGTGGGGGAGACACTAAGATTACTCACCAGGGCGTCATATCTAAACCTAGTCACCTTCCAACACTCAGGCACTGCTTCAACTGATTCCTAAATGGGTGCAGCCCATACAACAAGAGGGAACTTCGCCAAACTCACCCTTTGGCTCACTTTATCGATGTTTTTGGCGCACTTACTATTTTGGGACTCCTTGCTCTGCATCATTCTTGGTAAGCATAATGGCAGACAGGCATATTAATGTTCATGTTTTCGATAAAGGTATTCTGATAAGTCAGCGGTGCCGGGAAGAGATTTTTGCACCCTATGTGACACTTTTCTGTGGAACATATGGATCAATTTTCGTCTTTACGAACGATTAACGTTTATTCAGATAAAACTCAGTGGTGAACGAATACCTCCAATCGGTGGATATTTAACGCGTAAAGCAGTGTTTCTCAACCACTATGCCGCGGCACTTTTGTCTGCCGCAAAATTCTTAAAATGTGCCGCCAAATATTAGAAATGATAAAATAAAAATTATAATGCTTTTTTTTATTATGAGTAAAGCTTAAATTAAAGAAAAGTGTATAGATATATACATACTTTTTATAATTTTTCCACGCTTTAACCGCGTGAACATGTTTGTCGGCGATTGTATTGTCTCTGACAATCTTAAAATAAGATGGAAGTGTTTAAATTGTATATGACGCACAATTTTAAAAAATGTTGTAAGAGCTAATTATTAAAGTAAGCTATGCAATTAATAAACAAATTAGTAAAGGGTAACTAAAAAAACCAATATATAAAAAACAAATTAACAAAGGATAACTAACAAA